GCTTTCTCTGGGAATTATTGAGAACTCCCAGAGTGAATGGTGCAATCCTGGTGTCCTGGTACCGAAAAAAGATGGCACCTTGAGGTTCTGTATAGACTTCCGATACCTGAACTCTGTTTCTAAATTTGATTCTTACCCAACTCCTCGTATTGATGACCTAATTGGTTGTCTTGGCAGAGCAAAATATCTTACCACCATTGATTCTCCAAGGGTTATTGGCAGGTTCCTCTTGCCACTAGATCCCGTGAGCTGACTGCCTTCAGAACACCCTGGGGCCTTTACCAGTTTACAGTCATGCTGTTTGGGCTGCATGGAGCACCTGCAACGTTCCAGAGACTTATGGACAAGGTATTGGGAGGAAAATCTCACTTTGCATCTGCCTACTTAGATGATATTGTCATCTACAGTAACAGCTGGGAGGAACATCTTGAACATCTCACAGTTGTGTTTGAGTGTCTTCACACTGCAGGTCTGACTGTGAATGCAGCTAAATGCATGCTGGCGAAGAAGGAAGTACAATACCTGGGACACATTATTGGCAATGGAGTCATTAAGCCTCAGATTGAAAAGGTTCAAACCATTCAGTCATGCCCTTTGCCACAAACCAGAAAGCAACTGAGATCATCTCTGGGCATGTCGGGTTGGTACCATAAATTCATCCCTAATTTCTCTGCCAGAGCTGCTCTGCTTACCAGCCTCAAAGGATCTAACCAGCTCGAGTGGTCAGACGAAGCGAAGATGGCATTTGAGGACATCCAACATGCGTTAAGTGGACCTCCAGTGTTACATTGTCCAGACTTCGAACAACTATTTGTTTTGCAGACGGACACATCTGATTGTTGCCTAGGGGCTGTGTTGCTTCAAGGGCCTCCAGACAGACGACATCCGATTGCTTTCATAAGCAGGAAGCTTTTCCCAAGGGAAACCTGCTACTCAACAGTAGAAAAGGAGTGCCTGGCTGTTAAGTGGGCTTTGGATTCATTCAAATACAACCTGTTGGGGAGAAGATTCATCCTAGAAATGGACCACAAGGCTCTAAAGTGGCTTGAGAGGATGAAGGACTCGAACAGCAGAATAACTCGCTGGTACCTGGCGATGCAACCCTTCCAGTTTGAGATTCATCATATACCTGGGAAGCAAAACTCCACTGCTGACTACCTGTCCCGCTGGCCCATGGAGTTTCCAGAGGAGGGGGAGTGTGTGGAGGTTCCTCCAGCCATTTCTCAGTGTTAGTATTATTTAAATATATTTTTCCACACGCTGGTTTATTATTTCATTTTGGCAATATTGTAAGATGTTTACTAATGGGTGCACACATTTAGTAATTTATCTTACACATAGTTTTTTTTGATCATTATCTATTTTCATTTGTATTCTGAGATTGGATGAACTGGCAGAGAGAGGGGACACGCCCAGTGTAACTCCAGGCAGGAAGTGGAACATTCCATCTGGCTCCTGGAAGCAGGGAGCTTGATACTGAAGAAACCAGAAACCAGACGTTCTGAAGCTCTATTGAGTTTACCAGATTTTGTTAGGATGTATTAGTTAAACTTTTTTTTTTTGTGGTAGTTATACTTTGTTGACTTAGTTTCCTAGGTTTATTTACTGTTTGTCTTAGTGTTTCCCCTGTCTCTCCCCTCCTCGTTGTCTGTAGGCTAGCCTGTGTGTATAAATTCCCCTGTGTGTATCAGTTTTAGAGAGTCTTGCTCGTTACTTTTAGTTAAGGTTATTTTTGTGGCCATTTTTTCCTTTGGGCCCATTTTTGTTTTGATTTTGTTTAATTCTTTATGAAATAAATGGAGAAAATATTCTTTTTATACCATTGTCCTGGAGTTTTACTGCTCGGTCCCTGACAACCAGAAGAGCACGACTATGCAGCCAGCTCTTTCCTGGTTCTTGACCGAACCAAATATGAAAACATGGTCAAGGAAATCGAGGAGCTCCGCCAGCAATTGCAGTCCCTGCAGCTGACGCAAACTTTTGGCTTCATCACCAGAGGATATACATTGCTGAAGTTATGGTGTTACATTTCATCTGCAACCTTTCTCAAATAAAGGAAGAAAACTGTAATTTTGTATTTCAGTCGGCACCGTGCCAACTGTCCGGCAAACTGAAATTGTTTTGATGTGTCCTTTGATCTCCTGTTAAAGAATCCATCTGGAGCTCTGAAACCTTCCAGTTAGTGTGTAAAAAAAAAAAAAGTCATCTCTGCTTTTCAAACATTTGGTCTAAGGTGTCCCGACAGCTGCCCGACTGTAAAAAAAACAGCTATCTGCCACTTTAGATTCCATGATTTCATCACTCACATCCTCTTTTGCATTAGACTCACGGCGCTGTGCTCTCACCTCACACACCACTCCAGCCGTGGTGATAAAAGCCTGCTGGGAGGAGAACAGCCCTCGGCCCGGTCCGTGTGAAAAGCCTGTTTAATCTGGTAGCCTGCGATAATCCTATTAACAGGTGAGCTGACTCATTATCAAAAGCCTGTTTGAAAAGAATCTCTAATCATCTGAGCACAAACCCGACAGTGAAAGAGACTGTTCGTGTTTGATCTGACTGCAAAGAGAAAAGATCTGACGATAAAAGTAAATGAGAGTGCTTTGTTCCATCTCGTTGACCTTCAGGTTGCTCATGTTACTCAACATGTGCCTCCAGGGTGTAGCATGTTTTAATGGAAGGGTTTGTACGGTATCAAAGCTTGAGATTATGCTCACAGATTCTGCTTTTTGTGGACTGTTTGGGTCGACAAAAGAACATATGTTATCCCAAAGGCTCTGCTGACTATGGGGTTACATAACTTTAGACCTAAGAGGGACTGCACTATTTCTGATGGCGCTTGCCAGCTAGCCCAACGTCTTGTAAACATTTATCCCCAGCACTAGTCAGTCTCCCAGGTTAGTTCAGGATAACCCAGGCCAGGAGCTGCTGTAGAGGCTCTTTTCACTGCTGAGTTTTAATTTTCTAACGGAGCTTTTGCTCCACAGAACAGATCGTGCCAGATAGACTTTTTCATGTATTTTTTAACTGGCGACAAACCACACTACGTTCACACTGCAGGCCTTGATGCTCAATTCTAATTTTTTGAGTAAATCAGATTTTGTGTGTGTGTGGCCGTTCACACTGTGACTGAAGTGCAACATCAAACTCTCTGGTGTGAATGCTCTGCGGCACCAAAGCGGCCCGCATGCGCAGAAGATAATAAGTCACACAGTGGAGCCGAAAGCAGGAGCGGTGGAGTAGTGACGTAATCCTGATTCTGTGGATAAACGATCAGTGAAAACTTTTACACCTGTTAATTCTCCCGTTTTGGGCTGGAAACTGTTTGTACTCCTTGTTCCCGCCGCCTCCCTGAATTGTTATTCACCAAAAATGTTCCGGTATTAATTCATGATAAATGATAAATGACCCGCACTTGTATAGCACCTCTCAGAGTAAGGAATCCAAAGCGCTTTACACTACAGTGCATCATTCATCCATTCACACACACGTTCACACACTGGTGGGGATGAGCTACGATGTAGCCACAGCTGCCCTGGGGCGCACTGACAGAGGCGATGCTGCTGAGCACAGGCGCCACCGGTCCCTCCGACCACCACCAGCAGGCAAGGTGGGTTAAGTGTCTTGCCCAAGGACACAACAGCAGAATTCTCTGTCCGGAGCTGGGATCGAACCTGCAACCTATTGAGCTACTGCTGCCACTATCATTCACGAAGACGCCCCTCTCACAGAGACCCCTCCACCCCCACCCTCCTCCCCCTCCCTTCCTTCACGGAGCAGCAGCAGCAAGCCCCCATAATTCTGGCCTGGCTATGAAGCAAAAAAGAAAAAAAAAGTATTCTTGGAATTCAGACAGTACTCGTCGCTGCGCTGTGGCGTTATCGACCTCTAAATGCGTCATCACAAGTGTCCTGCCCATGGATTCGGACACACCCATCAAGTCATAAATAAATAAATGACAGTAAGATGCTTTTTTTTTTACCAGGTTCAACCGATGCTAGGTCTAGATGGAAGATAAAAGGGAATTCACAACATGATTACACAGGGAACAGTTTTATGTTCTGACAAAAGTGCGGATAGTCACCGTTATCTAGAAGAATCTACGGCAGGCCAGGGCAGAGAGAGTGAACATCCTTGTATTTACAGAGTGAACAGTTGTTTATTGTCTTAGGTGTGTTCTTGCTGTGTCTTTGTAAATCCATGCTTTCGTTCTTTTTTAAACACAGAAACAGTTTTGTTTACCTGTTTGTAGCTACGGTTTCGCCGACAGCTGCCGGCTTCTTCAGGCTGACGCTGATGGTCACCATCAGCGTCAGCCTGAAGAAGCCGGCAGCTGTCGGCGAAACCGTAGCTACAAACAGGTAAACAAAACTGTTTCTGTGTTTAAAAAAGAACAAAAGCATGGAGTTGTTTATTATGTTTATTTATTAGAGATGTGGACAGGCTGTGCTGCTTTTTTATAGCTTTAGATTTAGTTGACATGTATAGAGCCTAGTGAAATCAATTTTGTTATTTTTCAGCACTACAGTCTTTGCCTCTGAAATTCTCTTTATTCAGTTTAACTTTCAGTATAGAATAATTTTTTCTAAAAAAGTATTTTTTTTTAATCAAAGCAAAATTCAAATTTGAGGTAAACCAGACATTACATATACAAATAAAGTGGTTTCACAGGACTCCCAGCACATTTTTGTTTCTCAGGAACATTTATCTTTAAAAAAATGTTATTTTTGATTTAGTTTGCATGAACACGATAGACGGATGGACATAAGGATGGACGGATGGACGGATGACGAACGTACAGATGGATTTAACTGAAGCCCCTTTGCGAGCCTACTGAACCTACGCACTTGTCAGACAAACTTGTGTGGTTTCCATCAGGTGTCAAACTGGGACCCTTGAGAATAAAACCTAGTAACTCCTCAGCTGACTGATTAATTGTAAATGCCATGATGACTCAGTAATGATGTGCACATTAAAGACTAATGTTGGAATAATCAGCTTACCTGAACAGAGTATCATTAGTAGCTGATGTCTTCACAGGGTTGTGACAGTCACTGTGGACCTCGGGAACAAAGCCTCGTTGTTTCCTAAAGCTTTTGACGCCTTTCACCACAATGGCCACCCCGTCCCTCACCCTTTTCCTCAGGCTCATCCGCCAGCGGTCTGTAATGATGCTGATGAGCCCCACAGGAAAGCTATCAGGTGGAGGGATGTCCGGGTTTCCCACAGCCATGCTGGGGATAATCCAGATGTAGCCTGGACCCACAAGCCCAGCCTCGGTCGCTAAGGAAAACAAGTACTGGGCCTCTTCGTGGGAACAGTAGACCAACAGCACCTGTGAGTCTATTTGTTGCAGCAATCTTCTTGCTCGTATATCGTTCAAGCTGTCAGCAGACATGTCAAACGACAAAACATCCTGGAGATCCCACATGAAGTAGCTGGTGTCGGTGAAAGACTTGATGTAATCCACATAGGTTTCATAACCTGGGTACAGACTGGTTATGACTACAAAGCTGTCCCAGTTGTACTCCTCCATCACCTTAAACATGCCGTTGATCTGCTGCTCGATTGAGGATCCCAGTTGAAGAAAGTTGGAGCCCTCGCTCTGCAGGAGAAGAAGGAAGGCATCGAATTATTATGTTCTACCTGCCGCACTGTGATGGACCATCAGCATGGAAACAGCTTTATTCAGTTAGTTAAATGTGAAAGGAGATCTCAGAATAACCACAATACCGACAACACACACACACACACACACACACACACACACACACACACACATACACACACACACACACACACACACACACACACACACACACACACACACACACACACACACACACACACACACACACACACACACACACACACACACACACACAAGTGAATTGGGCAACAGTGGAGTCTCTTGTGCAGCGTTGACAGGACCAAAGTGGCTGTTTCATTCTGCTTCTCTAGGAGCTACAGACTCATTCATCACTTAAACCCACATGTCTCATTTTTGCCGTGCAAACAGCGGCCATCATCCATACTTGCAAATTCAAAGGGATAACACTGTCACCGTGGCCAGTGCTTCGTGTTTGTTTCATCTGTCTTTTCTGAAAATGCCCTGACCTTGTGAGATGAACAGCTACATCAGTTCAGTTAAGTCTGTTATCTCAAGTAGAAGGAAAAAAGCATATCTGGTGAAATTTGTGATGTGATACATTTTAGTGAAACCCTCTTGTAGTTGAACAAGACCCCAACAGTGTTAGATAAAAGTTTACAGTCTAATATATGTTATGAGCCTTTAATGAATTAAAGCAAAAAGTAACCAGTTGCACTTGTATCTGTTTTAATTTAGATGCAGTTTTAGCCTCTAAGGCACATTGCACCAAGGTGATCAACTTTTTCAGAGTAAAAATGGCTCCAGAGAAGAGAAAAAAGACATTCTGAGAGTTTCTGTCAGAATCAGTGTTTGCGTGGTCAGTGGGGGACACTAATTTTACTTTAAAACACAGAGACAAGTTCTCTTTCCACTCATGTGTGTCTGCATTTTTAAAATCTCTCACAGGACATTTAATTTGGTCACAGTTTGTTTAATTCCTCTCAATTTTAGCCAGACTACCCAGTCTTCTGTTTACAAATAAACACCATTTTACAAAGCACCCATTTAACAAATTACCATTCAACTCAGTATTAGACTCAGACTCTAAAGCCAAACCTCACAGTGTTACTTTGAAATGATTTTACACTGTGATGTGATTCCGCTATAAAAGCTCGGGCTGGTGGCCTCTTGCTGAAGAGGGGTGTATGCTGTGGCCTTTCTTAGTTGTTTTTGTGTACGTTTCACTTCCCCTTCCTTTGTTTTTCCTGTGGTGCTGCGATGGAGGAGGGTGCACCGCTGTTTCAGAGGAGCTGTCCTTTCAGCACCTCACCTCAGGGCAGCCTGGCAGTCTGTGTTCCGCCTCCTTCTGAGCTACCTGTCTCCGCCCTGAAGGGCCGGGCTGAACAGAATAACAATCAGAGGCTGGGAGAAGAGGACACCGACAACAAAAAAAAAAACATTCTGGAGAAGATCCTCGGGGAGCAGCAGACCTGAGACTCCTGTCTCTGGCCTGTTGTCTCCTCAGCATACTTTAGAACACCTTTATTGCTGATGTCTATTGAATCTTGTGGGTTTTTTCGGTAAAGTAACTGTTTAAGGTTTTTGGTCAAATGACTTTTTAATAAATGCTGGTGGATAGTTGTAGGAGGGGACAGTGAGAGACACTCATGTTACAGAAACACAAAGTTGCCTTTCCACTCATGCTTTCTTTAATTTTTTTTATTTAAATCCCTCCCAGGACCATTACTTTAGTTACACGATCATTTCCCCCATCCATTTCAGACAGACTGCTCATTCTTTTGATGGTGATATAAAAGAAATACAAACAGCTTTTTACAAATGACAATACTAATACGTATTTGATTCAGACTCTTCAGTGTTAGTTTAAAATTAATTGACACTGTGATGTAATCTAGATATAACAGCTCTATCGGATGGAAAGACTGGTGGACTCTTGCTCCCTCATTCCCCTCTGGGGAGAAACCACTTCATTCAGAGCACTGAGACCTTGTAGCTCTGAAATCGGAGGGGTCAGGTATCCTGAGGCTTCTTGCAGTCCTGTGATCTTATTCATTGTGTCTACTTATTGTCCTTGAGATGAGTTCAGTGGTCTTGTGATGTATGAAGGTCTTCAGAGTTTTAGACCTTTACAGCTAAATTCAGACTTGTGCATCTGCCTGTACAATCACGTCACTGTGACATTTCTTTTCTGTCCCATTGCTTTACTCATGACTGCTCCAGTTTCCTCAGACCTGTCCTCAAACAGTTATCAAGCAATTCAATAAATGTGATTTTTACATGGTGTATTTTTTTACTGAGTCTTACAACCGCAGTGAATGCAGAGGAATTAGTTCTACACCTACTCCCCAGAAGCTATTGTTCAAAGTCATTTTTCATTTCATTACATCACAAGACAGAGCTCATATATTTTCCTTAAAGTGTTTTTTGTAATGTCACCGGATAAAATTAGCATCTATTTTACATTCAGCTATCATCATCTTTGGACATTTGTTCTGTTCGGTGTAAAACCTGCAGTGGGGTAAGATGGATTAGACTGCACTGGAGGCTGGTCTGCCGCACACATTCACTCTGGAAGTAGAGACTTTATGCAGGTCAGTCACAGAGGAACTCCTGAAAATCATGTAAATCTTTTCATTCCCCCCTCAGCCTCACTGTCCCACGGTAAATTTATTGGTGCTGTTGCCTCAATCTTGGAAGCAAAACAACCTGTGCCTGTGTGTGCAGCTTCAGCTGGGTCACCTACCCTAGTACTAATGTGTCAAAGTACACAGAGTGTGTTTGCATACTTGATAGTTCTCTCTGCTTTCATGAGGCTATCACACTGATGAAATGGCCAGATCAAATTCTGCTGAGAACAACAAACAGAACAACTCAATTAGCAGAGAGCAGACTGATAACACAGTCCAAATTAGCCTTCAGCATAGCCACAGGCTCGACTGCTGCTCAAAGCCTGAGCTGTCTATCAATAGAGCATGACAGGTCAAAGACGTGTACTTGTAGGGATTAAAAAAGCCAGCTGCCATTTACAACAAATGCACATTTAATTCTTAAACCATAATGGTTCTGTGGCAGCAAATGCATGGTGAGTATACGCAGAGACTCAAATAAAAAAAGCTTGTTTTTGTTTACAGATGTTCTAAACAGATTATCAAAGGCAGAGCCAGAGATGCTCCTTTCATTACTCATATTCTGTCGTTTGTTGCTGAAGACAATAAAGTCTGAAACCTTGTTTACTGGTCTGAACTAGGGCTGCCACGATTAGTCGACTTGTCACGATGACCTCGACAAACAAAATAGTCGACTATTAATTTAATAGTTGACACATCATTTATTTTCTGAAATTTGTTTTTATCTCGCCTGATGCGGCATGTTCGGCGGTTGCTTCCTGCCTCTCCTCAACGCAAATGCGCATTAGTCGCCATTCGGGTCAGTTGCCACTTTCAGCTCCGAGACGCATGCATGCGCAGCAATGGTCATCCAGATCAGCCTGTCGTCACCGGAGAAAGAAGACATGGAGGGTTGGCAACATGGCTCAAAAGTTTGGCAGCATTGCAAAGACAAAAGAAAGGCACCAAGAGTGCAAACTCTGCAAAGTGAATACCCCCTTTCACGGGAGCACAATGGCGATGCATGAGCACCTTAAAAGGAAGCACGTCGTGGCGGAGAACACAGAGTCTCCTCGGTAATTTATGTCTTTTTACATCAACAGAGAGTCACTTGTATTCATAGGTGAAGCAACACTGGTAGCGGTGGCGATTTTTTTACCTTTAGAACATGTTTGTATGTCACGTATATTTGCTCTAATTAGAAACGCTAATAATTTAGATATATTTATATATAGGAAACGCTTTACTTATTGGCTTAATGAACTGAACTGTACTGGAATGCTTACTGTGAAGTGCCTTGAAACTAGTGCTGTGATTTGGTGCTTCAGAAATCAGCAGAATTTTATTTAATTGAAAGAAACCTCGTGTATTATGTCTGCTGCTTTTTAAGTCTCACGTCAGCTAGAGCACAAACACGTACATTTTGTTTTTTTACATGTCCTGTCCAGCTGTAAGCAATCAGAATTGATTAACACTTAATTATTCAGCCTTCCAGCTCTTTCAATCAGAGTTGATGTCTGAGTGCCAAAAACAAGCCTTGCAGTTTTACTCTCACAGGTATGTGAATCTGATTTGACAAACAGAAAAACTGTCATCCTTGCTAGTTTTTTTTTTTACATCCTCATTGAAATAAATGTGCTCAAAAACACCTAAATGTATGAAGGTCGCAGGGTTCTGTTAAGATTAGCTTTGATTTGATTTCTACAGAAAGTCCAAACTGTCACGCCCTGTCCTGTCTACTCTTAGGTTTTGTCTGTTCTCCGTTAATTGCTCCCACCTGCCTCTTGTTTCCCAATCACCATAGCTCCCGCTCCTCTTGTATTTAAACCCCTTCTGTTCTGTGTTCCCTGTCGTGTCATTGTTTCAGTGTTCCAGCGTGTGACTCTAATAAATCAATGTTAGAAGTTCTCACCTGCCTGCCTGTTTCCCTCCCCGCGTGTGGATCCTTGCCTCACCTCAGCTCACCTCGCCACACGCGCGTGACAGAATGACACGACCCCCTGAAGGGTCCAGCGGGGAGATCCTCCCATGGAAGTATTTATTCCAGTTCTTCTCCGCCGACTATCGACCGGCTTCTCCTTCCCCAGCTCCAGCTCCGCCTCGCCGCAGACGGCGTCCCCGACCTTCTGCCTCGGCGTTCCTCGCCGCCCTTCCGGAACCGGACGGGACGTTGGAGGGAGAGATGCTCCGGGATCGCTCCAGCTTCGAGGGCACGAGGCTGGCTTTCTGCTCCCCCGGGGTTGGTCCACGGCGTGGGGAGAGACGCCGGAATCCACCGCAGCCCTGCGCTTCAGGACGGAGCTGCGAGCCCACCGCTGGCCGTGCTCGGCGAGCCAGTTCGGACACGCCCCCGGTCAGACCAGCTGTCCCGTCTCCGGCCGAATCGGC